ACTCGAAGTTACTTACTTACTACAAAATCAAATTTATTCCATAAATCTTTCAAGATACTAGAGTTAAATACACCAAGCACTCAGACTAATTTAATACAAACATTCATTGTTTGCCAATCCATTCAAAATGATCGCTACGTGAAGTGTAAAAGTGTTGGTTTTTGGTAAACGTTCCTAACTGGATCATTTGGAAAAATCGTTTAAATGAAAAAACGAAAATGGCATCAAGTATTTGTTACTAAAATCTTGATGAGTATTAACTTGCTTTTATTTCCAACGAAATCATTAAAACATTCAAATGACACACAGACAAAGAGATAGAAAAATATATGGATAGATAGGTCGACATATCTTCATTTCCAACAGTTGAAACACTACAAGCAAGACATTCATTATACATAACTAAAAAGTATAAATGATAAATACAGTAAAAAAATTTCAGCATATACAATAAAAAAACTTACTAATAAGAGGTTTAATGAAAGTCAAATTGAAGTTTATTAGTAGTATTGAGTACTGACCAGCTCCATTCAATTTATACTGTCAATGCATAACTTCTGCATAGCCTCATGATATTTAACTTTATTTTGTTGCGTCATGGTTAATTTTGTGATGAGGAACTAAAATTATTACTTGACCCTTGTATATCCAAACTGTTTCAAAACAACGAGAACCTTCACCAAAATCATAATAGAAAAACCTGAGCAAAAAAAACTGTTGGAAAGTTAAGCTAATTATTGCATTATAGGTTAAGTTGAATCAATTTGAACGATCGGAACAATGACACTGAAATTAATTTGTCAAAGTAACAAGAAAACCAATATTATGCTCAAATATTTGCAAATAATAAACTGAAATAAACACCCGTGTATCGAAACAAAATCGTACGATGGTTTGAGGTTTTTTGTTCCTTTTTCATTTGTATTGTCAGAATATTGGATACTGATGAATGAATACGAATCTAATCAAACTAGTTACATTTCCAAACTAAAATATGAGCAAAAGACCGAGAAATTTTTGTAATCTGAAAGCAACAACACCACTCACTACATACTAGAAACATGTGCAATAGTAGCAGTTTTCTAGTATCGAGCATCACATCAATATATTCCATATTGTTTGAATATCTTAAAAGGACAAAATTATTATATGATGGGCAATACGGATTTCGAAAAAATTGTGACCGAGTTCGCAATATTAGGTAAGATAACAAAAAAATTTGGAGTCCTTTCGTTAGACCTGAGGAAAGCATTTGATACTCTTAACCATAAAATTCTTTCGACAATAATGCATAATATAGGTTCAGTTTATAATTGAAAATTGTTCAATGAGAAGAACGCAATATGTCTATATTGGCGACATTATCAGTTCAAAAACATATATGTAGGGAACCGCAAGGATCAATTCTTGGACCTGTTTTGTTTATTATATGTTTCAATGCTTTGACTATAATACATTTATTTGGTGAATTACGAATGTTTGCAGATGACACCACTTTCATTTACAATGGAAATAGTCTACAAGGAATTAAAAATTAATATATATTTCAAAAAACCTTTGATCAAATATCTTGATGGCTTCAATGCCATAAAATGTTACTGAATTTTCAAAAATCTTTATATATATTCATATCCAATATCAATTGTTTCAATTCAATAATGAAAATATGAAATACTCTCCTAGTGCTGAATTTCTACATGAAAATGTATCATGGAGGCAACACTTCGAGATAATGGGAAGAAAATAGGTCCCGCAATTGGAATTTCATTCAAAATAAGAAATGTTGTACCCACAAAATACCATAAATTTCCCATTAGTATATTCCAAAATTCAATATCTAAAATCACTATGGGAAATGACAACAAATTCCTTATTGACACCAATAAGGAAACTACAGAACGAAATTATAAGGTGTATATTCAAGTTGAACTACAAGGAGCCTACGGTCAACTTGTATAAACCAAAAAAACTATCAGATTTGTCATCCTTATATAAATTCAAATTATGTAGCTTCATTCATTGGTCAAAAATAACCTCAAACGTTCAAAACTGACTTTCAAAATCAATGCTGATCAACCCAACCATTTGACAAGATTTGATAAGATAATCAGGTAATCTGAAATTAATGAAAATGAAAACAATTACTGGGCAAAATTCGATTCATTATAAAGGTATCAAGTTTCACAATGAGCTACCGAATGCTTAATTATTTTCAGTCGGGAATTTTTTTGAGTCTGAACGACCATGAGATAACAATTGAAAAACACTCAGTAACTCGTGTAAGATGTTTGAAAATCACTGAGCTTGAAATTGAATGATTTAGCAGAATTTGCGCCAATCAAAAACAAACTTGATGCCAGTGCGAAAAGGGATCATGATAGGATTAATAGATTCAAAACTGGCAAAAAACTGGGGTGAATCATAATCGATATCAGTGAAGCAATCAACAGAAATTATTTCGTTTTTTTGAAGGTGATTGACAATATATCCTGATGAATGTTATAAATTCGGACTTCCATTATCTAATATTATATAAAATGATTTGAAATCTCTAAAAGACCCAATACACATGAAAAATTAAAAATAATAGCTGAAAATGATAATTATTTTGAGCAAAATACCCCTGAAATGAAATAACAGTGAAATAAAATACGAGTAAAAAATAGAACAATTAAACAAAAAATAAAGAATTAAGTGATTCCAAGCAAAGTTACTACACGACGTTTCGATTATTAGTATCGACAATCACCTTCGAGTGATGACTCGAATAATTCCTTCGAGAGATGACTATTCATGGGTCATTCGAGTACTTCCACTTATCTTCTCTTTTCGCTTCACCAGTTTAGCGGGAGATGACCGTTTGGCGCTTGATTATGGTTGCGTATCTCTACGCTATCTTGACTGAATACATCGTTGGACAACATGTATGCGGCTTCTTTGAATTTCCTCCTAAACCAGTGTTCGTCACTGCGTATGATCTCAGCTTGTGATGTGTGAGTTTCACTAAGTGAGAAACATCTGTATACCGAAAACCCACTCACACGGCATAGTATCTGAACCACGATTCCAACCACCATCAATCGACTAAAAAAGAAATCATCAAGACCCTATTAGACAGTGCTTTCGGGCTCTGTTAAACGAAGGAAGGTCTCGAAAAGGAACTAGACAACATCAAAAATGGTCTTCAACGAAATGGCTACTCCAAAGCGATGGTGGAACAGACTTTGGCTAAAAGAGAGCAAGCGCCTCGCAAGAAAGAGAAGCCGTCACAACCAGTATTTGCACTTCCTCACATCAGAAGATTATCGAAATTGGGTCCAAGTACAAAATCAGAACCTGCTTCAGATCCGGAAACACTATCCGTAGCCGTAGCAGTCTCACGAAAACCAGGCCACCAAACGCGGACTGCGATTCCAAGAATTGCATTAAGCGGATACCCTGTGAGTACAGAAAATCTTCTGTCGGTAAAACTAAGAGGCCATTGAGAGTTTGCATTGCCGAGCACAAGAAACATACACAGCGAGGGGAAACCAGCAAATCAGGAATAGCAGAGCATGTTTAGACCCATCAACAAAACATCCAGTGGTCTCACACAGGGAGAAACACTGGTTTGGGAGAAAACTCAAAGAAGCCGCATAGATGTTGTCCAACAATGTATTCAGCCAAGCTAGCGTAGAGATACGCAATATTAGGAAACCCATAATCAAGCGAAAAATGGCCAATTCCCGCCAAACGGTCATCTCCCGCTGACCCGGTGAAACGGAAAGAGGAAAGAGGGGATAAGTGGAAGTACTCAAATCGCTCGTGCAGAATATCCAATATGACACGACCTGTGTGACACGTAGCCACATGTCGTTTGTATCGAGATCATCCAACTCAGACCCAAAATCCACACCAAACAGTGACTTTTTCAGGATGCATTCGACGCTCTTGAATCTCATGTGTGTTGGAATCGTCCTAGTGGACTAAAATTTATCCACCTCATTGCGAATAGTCTTCTCGGTAGGACGATTATGGCGATCGTAAGATGGGCGAAGCGTGCGGTACGTTGCCCGAACAGAAGACTCATTTTGATAAAAGAATTTCATTATTTGCAATATATTTTTGAATGCTATAGCCATTGATGGTGATTTGGCAAAACAGGCTGGATAGATGACAACTAATTTAACACTTATAGCTTCAACAAGATGGCCGTTTTCAATTGTCAATGTTCCGAAGTCCCTGTTTGAAGACCCTGTATATGTATTCTCATAGGTGTATCAAGTTCCTTATAATGATGGGCTGTGAAAATCATACTGGCCAACTTCACAACTGCATAAACAACTGCAATTATCTACTTCATTCGTGAGGAAAAACGAGAGTTAATCTCACTTCTTGAAGGAAAAGAACATTGAAGGTAAATGTTATATCTTATACAAATATCGCGTGATTGAATGGAAAAAATCAGCCTAATAACGAATTTTTTTGCTATTACATCTTCACTGCAGATATTTCAAAAAAAATTTAATTGAAACGACAAACAATATTTAAAAGTAGAAATTTCAATATAATACAGATTTTCACCACTATCTTGCGGCAATGGTTCCCCGAAAACTAATATTCGAATTTCTTGTATTTGCCGTATATTTTTGAAACCGTAACCGCAGTTGCGGCAAATAGATTCAAATGTGAAAATACACCCATCAAACGCAAATAAAACTCGTTCCTAGGTAATGCGAAATATCCATTTGTAAATTAGAATTCGAAAAAGATGAAATAGGGAAATCCACTCATTCCATTCGGTAAATGTTATTCACTTCTCTCCTGTTACAAATGACTAATAATTCACGAAAGTTATCGATATTGTAAAAAGCTTTCGACTGAAACCTTGGGATACGTTCAGCATTAGTGGAAATGGAGTTGTTCTTTCGAAAACAAATAGAACGAGAAACTGAGGGCAGGATATTCAGCCGATAGATATGTTTGTGGTAACAGTAAACAAAACAGTTCATCATACTCACCCCCGGTAAGACTGGCACTGCGGTTTTTGGGCCCAGATTGATAGTTCTGCCGTCCGATCTGATCAGAAGATTGAGACCTCGGGCTCCAGGACCGCCACCTGCAAAGTGGATAAATGGAGTCGTGAATGGGGATTGAATTTTGGCTATTTGTTTCTGAAAAGATTGATTTTTGTTGAATATGATGTTGAGAAATACAATGTATCTTATATTTTTCGCTTTTATAAACAAAAAGATGATGAAATGAAATGGAATGCTTTATTCAAATAGGATACATCCTAATATATACAACAATGATAGTAATGTTAACATTAATATACATATAAATACAATAATACAAAAAACATCTACTTATATTTGTTAATAAGCAGTCTTACCTACGATAATTGAAAATACAAAAAAAAATTAAAGATAAAAAATATTACATACCTTAATGGTCTCTTAAATGGTGTAATGAATTTCTTTTGAACAGAATAAGACTGTTAGAAGACTTCACTGTTGACTGTTATACTTAATAAATCCTTTGAATATTAATGTTTTAGTGTTGAATGTTTTTGTTTGATTATTTACACACAAATTCTTTTTCATTCTAGTATTATACTGGTGGATTCTGATTATTAAAAATTACAAATTTGTCAAAATATGAGGGTAGAAGGTTATGTAACATTTTGTAAATGTAAATCATCGTTAAATATGTAAGCCTATTTTCTATAGATAACCATTCTAGAGTATTTAACATTAAAGATATATGGGTACTTCTGTCACATCTCAAAATAATCCTCATTGCGCGATTCTGTAGTTTTTGTAGTATTCTCATTTTATTCAAATCACTTGTGTATAGAAGAGTGGGACAATATTCAAAATGTGGTTGTATAATTGTCTCATATACAGTTATCCGTGATTGCATAGTTAAGTGTTGGGATACTCTTGTGAAAAAATATAATTTCTTCAAAAATTTTTTCTGTATGTAGGTGAAATGGTTATTCATTGATAGATGATTGTCTAACATGAATCCTAGATATTTGAATTCAGTAATGAGCTCGATTTTATCATTTTCTATGTTTATTTCAATTTGATTTGAATCTATTTCTCTGTATTTAAACGGTGTAGTAAGTATCATAGCCTTTGTTTTGTTTACATTTAGCTTCAGTTTATCAGTTTTTAAATATATACCAATATTATGCAATGCTTCATTCATTTTTCAATAGCTTTATATATATGAAAAGAGAAATGAAAATTTCTAACGAAACTGCTACAATTAATACAACAAACAAGTTTATTGTGACACTTTGAGAATGTCCATATAGGACGAAACTGCAGTAACGTTAGTTACAATTAAAAGTGGTGAAAAACATAGAAATTTTCATTTCTTTTTTCATTATGATCTCCTACCACGAAGTAACGGCTACATATTTGATTTTAATGTTTGTATGGCAACACTGAATAACTGTCATCCACGAACATTTAACAGTTCTGCGAAAACTAATGGCGGTAGGTAATGGTGGTAGACCACATCTAAGATTTTAGGATCAGAAAGTAATTTTTTTGCGTTCACTCAATTTGTTTTACAAAGAAAAATGCAGCATGAGTTGACAAAATTGATATGTTGTATTGTTAGGCATATATTTAGCATTATTTGACGATAATATTGATTTCACAATGATTACGCGAAATAGCTGTATTTTGAGGTTACAACTTAAATGACAAAATGTTTTGAAAGATCCACTTGTAGAGGCTTTGAAAGAGCCGCCAACAGGATGCAGCACTGTGTCAGCTCCTCCTAAAATCATCGCTGATAAAGGGTCAAAACAAATTGGACAAGTTACTTCTGCAGACATTTCCATCTCATTGTAGTCATAGACTCCAACCTCTGGATGTTGCGATTTACGGGCCTTTCGAAATAAGATGTTGAATAGTTATGAACGAGTGGATTTTGATTTAAGACTGATAAATAACTGATTTTCACAGAAATGAGCAATTTTACAGTTCGATAAGATTTCTATAACAGATTTTTATTTGCTGAAAGACTATTTTTTTGTAAAGAGGAACCCGGCTCTTTCATAGCATAGTGTGTATGAACTGGCTCGTTCATACACACTCTTCCATAAAGCACCACCCACTGACCCCGCTGTACAATCCACAATATCGGATATTACTTTTAACCAGCTCAACATCAAAAAAGGTTTTCTTCTTTATAAAATACCTGACATCATAGTTGATCCAGTGAACTTGCAGAAGTGTCCTGTAGGCTCATCAATTTTCCAAAAGGTAATGTTGAAATTGAAAGATTCAAATTTAGTAAAATATGTAAAATGGATAAGAAAAATGTTCCAAATTACTGAAGAACAGTTTTTTGAGTATTAGTGATATCCAAAATCATGAAGAAGCCTTCATTAGCTCCTGGTGATGATAACTATAAAACGCGCATGTTGTGGAAAAAGTGTTTACTTCAGACTTATTACGCATCAGAGATTCCAATTTTTTTTACCCATCTTTGGAATAATACGAAACACAGAGAGTCTAGGGTTATTGCACTCAATAATTTCGAATTTTTTGACCCTGCCTGGCTAAGTATCAATTAACTGAACTTCGAACTTGTCAGATCGCAATTATTGGGGGTTATCCAGCTCTCTCAAAGACTGTTTCCTGCAAAAAGTCATTGATGGTTATTCCACAAATACCTTTACCATGGAAACCGGTACCCCCAAAGAGCAATTTTGTCTTCAACGTTTTCAACGAACTACTGGAAAAGATTATCCTAATTTCATAATGACAGGGTACATGTTTCTCTTTTCATTCAAATTCCAACTCATTCGATAAAAATTGTAGATTTTACAACTTGATATATACCTGGAAAAAATCACAAATTGGGTTAACAGAAACCATCAGTTTTCTCTAAGAAGATGAATGTTGAGAAATCATAATAATGTGACATGCAATTCCACTGAATTCGTAAATAAAATTGTTAGGTATGAGAGTTAGATACCAATACGTTAGTTAGTTATGAACAACTCAGCAACTTTCAATATGTTATGAAGAACAGAATCAGCCCCAAGGCTGCTGGATTCTACCCTTATATGAGACCCCAATATCATCAGCACTCTTGATAACCTGGAATATCGAAGGATGGTTGAAGATTGTTAACTTTCCCACAGATTTTTTCACGGATTAACTGGGCCAACTTGATTTTAACACCTGGACTGAAAAGTCTAGGGCCGCTCTAACATTTCAATACCACTTAGAACGATTCTTTTTTTGTTTCAAAACAGGCCTCAGTTTCAGCAATGACCTCTTCATTTGAGCGAAATTTCATAGGGATGAGCATTTCTTTGAAGTCTACGAACAACCAGTAGTGCGTAAATGAACTCGCACCAGTATTTTGCAGACTTTTCAATATGTCTTACAAGAATGAGATTTTTCCTTCTTGTTGGAAGATTGCTCGCGTTCAGCCTATTCCCAAAAAGGACAAGAAAAAATGTTCCGAATAAAACTTTAGGCCAGTTGCTTTGCTATCTGTGATATCAAAAATCATGGAAAAAGTCGTAAACCACCATATCCTCAAATATTTGGAAGACTTCAACATCTTGAGCGATTGATTAGCGATATATGGCTTTCGGAAACAAAGATCAATAGGCGACGTTCTATCGTATGTCACGCATATTTGGAATAACGTAACCGTGTGTGGCATGAGGGTTTGCTTGCCAAACTCCGATGCTATGACTCGTCGGATCATTTTTGTGTGTGGCTCTTCAGCTTCCTAAAAGAACGTTCCCTGCAAGTGGCCGTCGATGGATATCTCTCGAATACTTTCACCATCCTGGTGTTCCCCAGGGATCCATATTGTCTGCAACCCTCTTTCCATTGTATATCAACCACTTATTGGAGAACACCAAGAATACAATGTATTGCTTTGCTGACAACAGCACAATTGTCTCATCATTTCATATGGATTCCAGGACATCGGCTACAGAGGCACGTTTTCACCAGCAGCACGAGGTTGCGTATCCTGATGAGGATCTAGAAGTGATTTCGAATCGGGGTGATAGTAATGAGGTTCAATTCAATGCCACAAAAACCCAGGCATCGGTTTTCTCCAAGAAGATGAATGTTCCGAACCGGATATAATAATGTCAGGTCAAACAATTCTGACAAGTTCATTAGGGGTTGAAATGGACACCAATATATCTTGGCACAAAGACTGCTCCTCAAAAACATGGAACACTGTTCCGAACCAAAAAACTGTACACACCTCAGCAACTTTTGATGCTCTATTAAGCTGATATCAGACCTTCTTTGGAGTATTGTTCTCATGTATGGAGCTCTGCCCCTAAATATACCCTGAAGTTGCTGGATTCCATTCAGAAAAGAGCCATCCGCCTGATTGGCAACGCGAACATCATGTGCAACCTTGATAGTCTGGAACATCGAAAAAAGGTTGGAGATTTGTCCCTCTTCTATAGATACTTTCACGGAAGGTGATTCTACCAAGAGCGGTACATATCAAAAATACGCGACGGACTGTGGCTGCTCATCGTTTTGAGATTCAACTCAGTTTACCTCGAACTCACTATTTAAGAACTCTTTCATCTGAAGAACTGCGTTAATTTGGAATGAACTACCTGGTAACGTTTTTCCAAATGGATTCAATCCTCAACGATTCAAATCCAATGTGAATCGCTACTTTCGCACAAGCACCGCTCTGAGAGTGCCTTAAGGATTTTCCTGTAGTGCTTGTGTTTTGTACTTGAAAAAAAAATATCACGTACATCCCAAACTACCGAGGCCATGACCATAAAGAATTGTGAGCAATAAATTATATGGTGTTATTAAAGTTACCTTCTAGTCCGTAAGGCTGAAGAACCCTTCTCTCAGTAAGAACGGACAGGGTGAGAGGCGCTCTGAACATTAACTCTCTCAGGACCCCATCTCCACCTCTAAATTTTCCTGAACCTCCACTTCGTGCTCTGAGCATAAATTGGCGAACATGAACAGGATAACGTCTTTCAACGATTTCAATGTCAGTTATTCTTGTATTAGTCATGTGAGTATGAACACCAGAGCAACCATGCCAATTGGGACCCTGAAAGTAAAAAAGAATATTTTTCTGATTGACTCTGTCGTTACTCGATGAAGATCAATTGTAATTTTACAAACTACACCAGGTACATACTCAATCATAATTACCTAGAGCATATATCATCTACATCTACTCAACTTTTATATAACTCAGGTACATACTCAATTATAATTATAGTATATACGAAGTCAATTCAAATGGCATAAAAAAACTAAATAGCTACCGAACGTCGGCAGTTTCTTTGTATGGCATGAGCGGCGTGATACATTTTTTTTTGTCCAATCATTATTTTCACCAATTTCCTTATTGAAAACTAAACTCAGAAAAGGGAAACAACTCAAATCTATTTGATCATCAAGATATGATCCTGAATTTTTGAATATATTGGTTTCTGAGCAGTCCGAAGGTTCAGTTGTGAACCTTCCTCTCCTGAATTCAATACGTCATAATCGTGATTGTACCCGTACCCCTCTGTCAAAAAATGGTTCGCAAATGTTTAATTGGTATTTTCATCAAAAATACTACTCCAATGGTCCTTCATTCTTTTTGAGAAAGTTCTTCCGGTTTGGCCAATATAAAATATAGGACAAGAATCACAAGTCGACTTGTATACTCCCGATCTTTCCGACAATAGAGTTTTATCTTTATTGTTTTCAATGAATTAATTCAAAATATTAGGCTTCGTCCAATTCATTGGTTTTTAAGTATCGAGCGATATTATCAGTAGATAGACCTGGTTCAGAGCTGGTTTTTGCAATTTTTTAAAATAATTGAGTCATAAATATTCACCTCGTAACCGTTGTTGACAGCATTATGTTTCATTAAAATCGGTTTGAAAATTAGTTTCTGAAAGTGGAATTGTCTGTGAACCATACTATTGGATGTTACTAGGGTTGCATTTTATATTTCAGGATTAGAGAACAAAAACAAATAATAATAACCAAAAATCACTTTATTGTTTTTCACAATATTCCCCATGAAGATCTATACACTTTTGCATGTGTTTGCCACTCTGATTGAGGTATCTCCAAAACATGCATTCTGAATGCAGCAACCGCTTCTTCAGGTGTCGAAAAACGTTGACCTCTCAGTTTACTTTTTACGTGCGGGAATAAAAAGAAGTCATTCGGTGCCAAGTCAGGACTATACGACGGATGACTCATCAAATCGATGTTTTGGGTGCTCAAAAATGCAGTTGTTTGAGCCGATGTATGAGAGCTCGCATTGTCGTGGTGGAGAGTGATCCGTCTTCAACGGTTGGTTTTCCTGATTTCTTGGAAGACAACTGGCAAACAAATGGTTGTGTACCACTCAGAATTGACTATTCTGCGTTGTTCTAGTGGTAGGGTTGCCACATGTCCAGTTTTTCCGAAAAAACAGGCGACCATTTGCTTGGAAGTGCGCATAATGATGTCAATGTAAGATAGTTTGTGGAAAATTGCAAAATTCTGTTTATTAATAATTTAGCGATGGTCAAGTATAGAAAAGTTATAGAGTTATTCACCTCCACCTCAGTCGTGAATTCAATCGAAGAGTGGATGGAACTTACAAATTCGGTAAACTTACAGAGCTGCCCGTATGTACCAGTAAAACAGACTAAGATATAATCTACATATCTGTACCTGTATGAAAAATTGTTGATTGGACTTAGTCCATGAAAATTTCAGCTAACAAAGGACTCAAGAGGTTTCCCATTATTGAATCCTCGCTACATGAGCAAGCATTATCATTAAATTGAATATAATTTTGAGCTACGCAATCATTAACAAATCTAAAATTTCCTGTTCAAATATTGGATTAATATATCTAGGACATCAAAATATAATAATTCAGCGTTATCAGGAGGAGCTCAATTGGTACGTATTATTTATCCTTTATATTCCGCAAACTATAAAACTATAAATATGAAGTTGCCCAACACTTCTTCTAAGTCTTCTGGGGGCCGGAATGCATGCCAATTTTTTTCCAGATTCTGCGTTGTCATTTTGACAGTTTTTTGTGGTACTCGAAATTGTGTTTCCCAGGAGAGTATACAAGACACGCACAATTATGATAGTGGCACATTTGTTGGAGCTGTGGAGATACTTCAATTAAGCGAAATAAATGCGTACAATGTAGTCTGAAATCGTTTATTAAAAATAATACAGAATGGATATATTTATTTGTTTTTAAATTATTTCTTATGAAATTTTAATTTTTGTTCATACAAAGATATACATTGTATTTGCTCCATAAAACTCGTGATCGACTTTTGCAAGTCTAATCTGCAACACAAGGGGTTTTGCAAAGTATTCATTATAGGCCAGTGTTGAAAACCGTCATTTTTTTTGTCAGTACACGGCGAAAGGTATGGTCTTGATTTCTTTTGAAGAGGTTTCTCCTGTTCCCCTCGCACATTAGTGTCTTCTTCTGTTGCAGTTTTGGTTCCACATAATAAGTATTCGGCTAAGTCTAGGCGGAACGAAAGAAAATCTTTAATTCATTTTGCCGTACAGTCTCTGCGGTATTTACAATGGATAAGTCAAATAGATGTAGGATTACTTTCAGTTTCCATTTTTTTAGTTTTAAAAAAGTTCTATAGCACTCTATCATCTGATTACAGATGTCTACTCCTCCCATTGTTTCATTATTAACTTCAACAACATTTGGCATGTCACTTCTATATAGCTAGAACTAGTTTTATCCCATCTTTTGACTCTAAGTATTGGTTCTTTACCAAAAGCAGTAGAGGCCACTATCACTATTTGTAACTCTGATAAATTCAGGAACAAAGGTACCGTCGAAAAGTATCTATCAAAAAATACGAAGCTATTTACAGACAGAGTTTCTACTAGCCTTAAGACGACTGAAGGGCCAAGTCCAAGATCCTTATTCCTTAAATTTATGGTTGTTCCTTGATAGATTTCAAAATCAAGGACAGTTCCATTTGATGTTGTTAGGAAAAAGTTCTTAAAACCAACTGGCCTTGGTTTATTCTTGACATATTGACGGAGCGCACAATGTCCAAGCAAAGGAATCATTTGTTCATCGATGGAGTACGCAGCTAACTGAATCAATCATTGGTTGAATTCGCCGGAGACGATTATTTTTTTTACTTTCTTCTGAGACCGTACAAACATCCACAACATGCAGCTTAACTCTTAAGAGATTGATTTTGTCTCTTGGCATAATATCAGCAATTACTGGAAATTTGAATTATGTACTCCAATATAAATTTATTCGAGGAAATTTCATACAGCCCATCATTGCATGTATGCAAAAATATTTTTTTATATCTCCAGAAGTAATTTTCCGTTCCTTTCCATGTTTTTGTAAATATTTCTGGGCAATTCGTTCTACATACAACTGGAAAGATGTGTTTCCTAAATACTTTTGGAAGTAACACCACGGTGTAAGAACATTGGTTGGATCAGGAAATACTTCTTCAGGTATATTTTCCTCTTCGAAGGTAATATTTTTGCTCCATCTTGGTACTGATAGTGGTTTGTGATGGAGTAAGGTACTAGTACCTGCACAATCATCATTTTCACCTCCACTTTCTTCAACTTCCTCTTGTAATGGCGGGCTTTCTTCAAGCGGTACCCAATCATCGTCATCCCCACTTCCAAGCTCCAAATCAGACTCAATATTATCCAAAAGTTCATAGAGATCTTCTGGATTAGCGGCAAGTCTATTAACATCGATTTTACGAGTTGTTCCTGAAAACGGAAACGCAATTTAGGAAAGATTTAATTTTTACTTTCCATACTCCTTACGCTATTCACACCTGAACATCACAAACGTGATATTCTTCAAAATATTGGTGTAAAATTTCAAATTCTAACTAAAATTGGATAATTTCATCGAAACATTGTAACATGAACTATTTTTAACAAGTAATCAATCATTAATTTATTTAAAAATAAATATAAGTATATACTTACGCCATTTCTAAACACCTGCTAAAATGTCGTACACGTGCAACCACTATTATCATTTGTTTTGAACTAATTTCAAGGGTAACCACGGTAATAACGCAAATGTAACGAACCCCCATGTTCTTGTGATGCTGTAGCAATCCGTCTAAAGTGGTATTTTGAACCTTATTTCATCAATAATCAGGACGCTCACAAAGTTCATTCAGTAGGACAAACCAAACGATATTTGATCAATACATTGAAAGAACAATATGAAAGAATTTTGAGGAGAATGAGAGTACACTATATGAGACAGAAAACCACTTTCTTGGAAATCGAGGGCGCTAAACGCCCAAAAAAAAACGACTGGGACGTTGCAAAAAAAGGTTATCACAGCACCCGCAGTTGAATGGGCTATCAAGTCTTTTCAGTCCTTCAAATCTCCCGGAGAGGATGGTATATTTCCAGCTCTTCTTCAAAACGGACTGGAAATAATTTTACCTATTCTCACAAAATTGTATAGAGCTAGTCTGGCGTGGAACTATATACCACCCAGTTGGTTGGCGGCAAGGGTGGTATATATACCTAAAGTGGGCCGGAGAACCCACACCCCAAATTGGTACGACCAATCAGCCTGCTGAAAGGACTTGAGAGGATAATGGACGGACATGTCACCAGTATGCTTATCAAACCGGCAAATCGACAGATTCAGCATTAAACAACCTCGTTGAGAAAATCTCCCAATCCCTTGACAACAAGGAGATTGCGGTTGCTGTATTTTTTGATATTGAAGGAGTATTTGACAATGCACTACCTGAATCTATAGGATTGTCTCTGGCTAGAAAGGGTATAGAATCGACCATAACTGGCTGGATCTATGCCATGCTAGTAAACAGAACTGCAACTACGACTCTTCAAGGCGAGGCTATCAGGTTCAGGGTCACCAGGGGCTGCCCTCAAGGTGGGGTACTATCTCCCCTTCTGTGGTCGCTCCTGGTGAATAGTCTGCTTGATGCCCTCGACAGAAGAAGCTTATGCAGATGACCTTGTCATCCTGGCAAGGTCCACGTCGGGAAGGGTAGCTTGTAATATCCTCCAAAG